CTTCCCCCATTCCCCTGCCCTGTTCACTTGCACAAGATTGGTTCCCCTGCCACCCTGCGGCAACCCATCAGCCCATAGCCCGCTGACCCCGATGCCCCTGTGCGCCTCGTGTGAACCTGACAGGGAAAGGACAGCGCTAGCTGCAGACGACAGACGACAGGCCACACTGCGCACATGTTCCACCTTCCCGTCGGCCTCAGGATCACGCCACTTGGGGGAAAATGCTCATTATACCATTCCCGCCCTGCGCTCTCCCACAAATTACGCTCGTCCGAAATTCGAGACCGGCGAAAACGTGTAATGAACTGCCGTAGGCCTGTACATGTAACAGAAATCTATGCTGTTAAGTAGCAGTGTGGAAAAGTAAAGTTACATTCCAACATGTATCTGTATCATGTTTTTAGTTCAGTTGTTCATTGGAAGTTTAAGCCTCCATCTGGTGCTATGTAAAGATCAAGACTGAACAAAATATGTTGTCACGTTTTTCTACTATTGTCGATTTTCTTGGTGCTCTGTGATTTGGTTAAATGTTGAAATTGTCGTACTGTTGCGTGTGTCGATTTAAAAGAATCACTCGGTAAAATTGATATCAGAAGAAAAAAAAGATTTGAGAGATAAAAATATTTTTCTTTCCCCTACGTAGACATAAAGGTACACATTATAGATGCGGCACAGAAAGTATTAGTTGCGAAGGGGTCTGTATTGAGCTGGGCAGACGGATTTGGATCTAATTCGCCACGCCTCTTAGCGTCTTTACACTCCCATGTCAAAGGGATATGTTATGAAAGAAATTAATTATGTAAGCTAACTGTTTCCTTGCTGCATCATCGGTAAAGGAAAAAGAAACGCAGGCGACTTCTTCCCTTCTTGCGCTCGCGGTATGCATCGTCTCCAAACTGCTCGCTTCTCTCTCTGTCTCAATCGTCTCCAAACTGCTCGCTTCTCTCTCTGTCTCAATCGTCTCCAAACTGCTCGCTTCTCTCTCTCTCAATCGTCTCCAAACTGCTCGCTTCTCTCTGTCTCATGCTTCAGTTCACATGTAACTTGTACCGGTACGCCTCTTATTCGATCTATATTATTCTGTAGGCTACCCTTCGAAATTTTAAGGCAGCAATTTTCTCTGCTCCTCTATTAGTTTCGGATGCAACGGTCAAGAAACGCAGGCGACTTCTTCCCTTCTTGCGCTCGCGGTATGCATCGTCTCCAAACTGCTCGCTTCTCTCTCATGCTTCAGTTCACGGGTAAATTGTACCGGTAGATCTCTGCTCTTACTACAGGCCCCCTATTCTGTAGCCTTCGAAATTTTAAAGCAGCAATTTTCTCTGCTCCTATACAAGTTTCGGATGCAACGGTCCTTTTCAGGTTGTTGATTCAAGCGCGTGTGTGGGCAACCAGGTAACTGTGCGTGTGTTGTGCTGACGAGGTCAGGCCGAGAACCGATAGCGACAGCGTGCTTGTGAAAGGGAACAAATCTGCGGAGTGTAGCCTGAATCAGATACTGTGTGCAACATGGATAGTTTTGATTGAGAACTGTGATAGAGTGAACCGACATGACATATCGATAGACCAAGTGTCCTCACTCTTCACCTACTACGCTGGCTTTCCCCACTCGCGCTGCATAGCCCGCCCACTCCAGTGATTGGTCTCTACAAGCACGCGAGACCGTCACCAGTCACCTTTCCAGTCCAGTGCTTCCCTGTGTTCGTTCGTTCGTACGGAGGTCCCCAAACTTCACGTGTAACGGCGGCGAGGCCAAGCCTCAAAGCTTCTCTCCGTGGACCCAAGTGGTTTATTTAATTTACTGAATGTTCCACCTCTGTAGATCTAGGTCTAGGTGTGTGACCGTTGTATTTTTAAGACAAGATGTGTTGTCAAGTCGGGACATGGTATTTCATTCTGGATTGTGGTAGTGTCAGGTGACTGGATACCTTACGCGCCCGGTTTACAGCACAGGCGGGTTTTCATATTTGGAATATTTAAGTGCAGCGAATTTTCTAAAGTGCAATTTCAATGATGAAACGACTTGTATTCGTTCTGTGTGTGGCGGTTTTATGCGTGTGTTTATTTCTCCCTTCGCCATGCGAAGCCAAACGAAAGAGGAAACGACCAAAGGGTCGGTCCGAATCATTAGCTTTGGATAAACAGAAAATTGGTTCTCGAGATGGGATAACCTCGGAGGATCAGAGAAATGACTGGACCCCCCGCTTGTCCCTCAGAGAGCGTCAACAATCGCAGGTTCAGACAACGCGGCACTCTTTGTGTCAGGCAGAAGGTGGGTGTGTGTGACCTTACCTCTGACATCGATTTGTTAGGTTATCAGTATGGAATTGTTTGTGTGATTATGTAGATTCTATATGAATATAGATCTATACGGATGTTGTTGTTGTAGTTGTTAATTGTATTGCTTACTACTACTACTACTACTACTACTACTACTACTACTACTACTACTACTACTACTACTACTACTACTACTACTACTACTACTACTACTACTGGTGGTGATGGTGGTGGCGGCAGTGGGGATTCGGTTCATCCTCCTCCTCCTCCTCCTCCTCCTCCTCCTCCTCCTCCTCCTCCTCCTCCTCATCATCATCATCATCATCATCATCATCATCATCATCATCATCATCATTATCATCATCTTCATCATCATCATCATCATAATTATCATCGTCCTCTTCTACCCCTTGCAATAGGCTAGTATAGGCCTTCCATCAAAAAGAGTTCTCCGTGTACTTTTGTTGTGGTCTACAACTATTTGTCCTGCTGTAAGCAAACCCCCCCCCCCCCCCTCCCGTCGGTCGGCATCTAAGTGAAGCCACTCCTCCATGAACCATAAGGTCTTCCTTTCTTTCTCTTTCCTTGTGAATTCCATCTTACTTAAAGCTTCCTTTTTCTCTTTCTGATTTTTGTATCGGTTGATCTGTTTGTTCCCTTAGGGTTTTGTTGTTTTTTTTTCTTATGGTGCCAGGCCAATTTGATCTAATCTTTAGGATTTTTTTTCTTAAGCAACTGTTGACAAACGCCAGTAGCTTTTTAGAAGTTGGGAATGCTTTTGGTACTCAAATTCTCCTTTTCATCCTTACCAACAGCGTTAACAGGAATGACTGTGTTTGTCTTGTTTTTGCTATTATTATGAAAGCCTCATGGCGAGATAAACTCCCAAAGGACACAGTGCTGGACCTAGTAAGCTTACTCATTGACATTCATTGTTGAGAAAAGTTCAATGAATGGATGAGACCCATCTGTTGTGCTATGTGTAGGCTAGCTGAATAGACGAATAATAGCGTTGTGCAATGTGTAGATGAATGAATTAATATGTTATGCAGTGTGTGGATGAATGGATGAGCGGATGTGGTACGCACTGTGTGCTCTGAGTGCGTGCATGCACGAGTACTTTATAAAAGTGTGTTCATTTAACTGTCGTCTTTTAAAAGGTGGCTCTAATTCTTAACTTAGTTAGTGCACTTAACATGTATCTCAGAGGCTTAAAAACACAGCTTTTAGAAGTTCTGTTCCAGGCAACAACAGAAACGTGTTTGGTCGTTCGATTCGGGCCCTATTGATCCCGCGGGAACATATTAACGTATTTGTTGGGAGTATGTTCAAACCCCAGCTCATGGTTATAGCTTAATGGAACCGTAACGACATGTACTATTCAATAGAGACCCGCCATAACGTAGTCAAATATTGTCCTTGAAGTTGTTACTTTGGTCCGGACCGTCCCGTCTGGTTCCATTGCCACAACGTTTGAGGACAAAGGAAAGGCCGCTTCCATTGTGGTGGATGTGTTAGGGATAGGTGTCTCAAATGCTTGCTGTTAGTATCCCTACATGTGCTTCTCAAGCCTACTAACTATTCGAGGCTTTAGCTATCAGGTCAAGTGCCTTGTTCTATAGGACTTCCTCACTCAGAGAACTATAGCAAGGCAACGTCTTATCAGAACACAGTACCGTAAATGTTTGGGACTGAAGACCCATTCAAATTGTTCAGGTGGGTTTTCAAGAGCCAAGCAGAAGTTGTTTGGACGAATATGTGTTTTACGCCCTTTTTAGCTCAGTAAAGCTATCTATTAGGAGGAACCTCCAATATATCAGCAATTCCGATACTAATAGGTGGAGAGAGCCAGGGAACCACATGCTACCCAAGTTCAACAATGCCCTTAAAGAGTTACGAACCACTGTCCAGTATGACACCATAGCTGACTGCCCAGCAAATTGCAAGTAGAAATGCGTCCGTGCTAACCAATTTATGTTAGAAGGGCCCGTCATAACTTAAAACCTAATGACGTAAATAATATGTGGTTTTGGCCGAGCTCCGTGCCGCATGTGAATACATCAGTGTGTATCGCGGTATTCCACGGTATTTAGATTCTAGTATTTTTGGTGAACAAAATTTGTATTTATGTACGTGTACTTTGAATCGAAATCACAGCTGAAACGACTTCAGTGGGATCGTTCAAGTTTGTGACCTATCTTTTGGAAGGGAACTTTTACTGGTCTCCGAGAGAATTTTGCGCCACGAAAGAAGAGAACAGGGATTTTTTTCGGGGGCAGGGGGCATTGGTGAATCCTACTTCTTCTTTTCCCTCCTGTTTCTAGATATCAACCTTATTCTTTCCTATTCCTGATGTAATGCACTGTCTAGTCATTACAAGCGCAGCAATCGATTGCTCAATCTAAATATTTCCACTCGTTTTCCATACATTTGACCTCAATGTCCCCATAGTGTCGTTTCAAACTAGGCTAACTGGGTCCCTGTAGCATGGCGAAGGTTCAGCTTGTCCTTTAACTTTAAATGAAAATGTTCCTTTTTGTCTGACGTTTAAAGCTTGTTATTGATGGGAAGTAGTGAAATCTTTCTTCTTCTTCTTCTTCTTCTTCTTCTTCTTCTTCTTCTTCTCCTTCTCCTTCTCCTTCTCCTTCTCCTTCTCCTTCTTCTTCTTCTTCTTCTTCTTTTTTTCTCCTTCTCCTTCTCCTTCTTCTTCTTCTTCTTCTTCTTCTTCTTCTTCTTCTTCTTCTTCTTCTTCTACTATCCCTTTGTGCTCTTAGCAGCAAAGTGTTCCAAGAATTGTCACTGTCCACTTCAGCTCATCAACAATTCCTTCTCATGGGTGATTGGGGGGAAGGGGGGGGGCACTGGTAGGTCTTACTTCTGTCTGGTCTATCTGTCTGCTTTCTTTTTCCCTACACGAAATTACCTTTATTATTTTGATGTGCTTCTTGTTACTCAAACTCAAATTCCTTTTCACGCTGTTTTGGCTTGATCATAATTTAAACGTATTAATTGGGCCAAGGTCTGATATTAGCGCCATCTTGTTTAGGGCAAGTATAATTGGGAACGTGCAAGATGATTCATCCAACTTCCAAGCTGTGCCAGTCTGCCGACTGTCGGGGTGTAGAAATAGGTTATCACTTCGGAACACTTCCCGCTCAAAGTTCAGCGTCGATAAGCGAGTTGTTGAGAATTTAATCTTCCAAAAGTTGAAACTGTGGCAATACCCTGCTTTTCTCAGGTTATATTTGAAGCTGCTTTGCTTAGTTTGTTTACTGTCTCCCTCCATTGGAGGTCACAAATAGCAATTTATTTGTATTAGCTGTAGTGCACACTGTTAGCCGTCCCTGCATGTCAGAGCTCAGTATCACCCCGAATGTAGTTTTTACAATTATGGCGGGGCCGACGAAATGAAGGCTCTGGCTGCCCCGAAATGTAAAGAAGTAGGACGTAAATTGTCATGAAATGCACAAAAGTATCACCAAGTAAAATTAAAAGGATCATTCCACGCAACGTCAAGCAAAGTCCGGCACATGTTCACGCCAGAAAGCTTTTATGATGTCTAGAAAGAAGCCACGAGCAGGAATTTCAGGGTAGGCTTGCTTGTTCCACAACACAGATCCCTTCGAAGATGTACAACCATTGAAATTTGCGCTCCGTTATGTGTCCCTCAGAACTTTACACAAAGGGTTGTTACCCCCAAAGTTAAAGTTGCCAAAACTATTCCTCTGTAAAAGTCCTTCTTTGTTAGTTCTTTGATACTTTAACATGCCTTTTATTACCTGGCTCTGTTACGCTGATTTTGGGGGTGGATAGCGGGTGCTCTGTTGTGGTTTGCTCCTTCTTTCCTATCCAGCGTCTATCGTTCTTTTCCCTCCCCCCTTTTGTCTTTTTATGTTACTCTCTAGTAACACTTTAAATCTTCTGAACTTAAATGGCCTATTTGTATTAAAAGCTCCGTAAAACTAACTAAAACTAAACTCTGATTTTGGAGAGGGCAGATCTTTAGTTGCCCGTGCTCGAGTACTGTTTGTTAGCCTTGTCAGCGAGAGGGTTGTCCTTTTCACTTTCAAGTCCACTCCACTATGGGGGGTTTTTGTGTCACCCTTAACATTTCAACTCCTTCCCTACACAGTCCCCACAAGTATGTATATTTTTTGTGGGTCGAGGTTAAGCTGAACAGTATCTCTAAGATACTAAATTGAGATAGTATACGGTTTTGAAAACTTGTCAAAATGTGTTCTCCTTTGTTCTAACTGTGCGCAAGAGCCATTCTTGTCGCTTTGAGTTTGTTGTTCTTAAGAGAGATGGACGAATGAACCTACCAGGAAAGAAGGAGAGAGACGAATGGATAGAGAGACGGACAGAAAGACAGACCGACAGAGATAGAGAGACGAATAGATAGACGCACAGACAGACAGACAGACACATGTACTCCAAACAAACACACACAGACTACAGGCAGACAGAAAGACAAACAGCTAAACAGATAGAAGAAAAGAAAGACAGACAGATAGACGGACAGACACAGGAGTCAAACACTCCTACATATCCATTATCTGCCCTGGAGTAGGTTGTTAGATATATGTAACATTTTCTATTTGCCTTATGTGAATAATCCTGGAGTCGCAAGTGCGGATTGTGGTCAAATTGATCAAATGGAGATTAATCAAAATGACTGACCAGAGCTCTATTGGTTTTTGTCGAGACCACCACACTAAGTTAAGAAGCCAAATGTGCTGTACGGCTTGACTTGTAGTTCTGATACGTTAATAAACCTGCCGGGTAAACGCTGTGGCTTTTGAAGATCAGCGCTGCGTTGATAAACCTATTTATACTTTCTGAAAGCCGTCGCGGAACCCTTAAGCTTTGTGTTCTGTGGTGTGTGTAATTTTATTTTATGTAGATCTATGTACAGCCCGAGACTACCTGGAGCTGCAAACTAGAATTTTCGATGCATATTCAGAAACATAACTTCTTATCCTGAACTTACTT